CCATATACCGGGCACAATTCCAAACTGCGTACTTTTTTTTGTTTTTTTTTAAGGGGGAAAATCTTCGAATGACTGCTCCCGCCTGGGTGAGTCAGGAGGGAGTGTCAGACTCTTACTGACTAAAAACTACCCCGTTCCTTCTCCTGCACGTCGAGCCGGAGCCCCGGTAACCCGTTAGGTTCTCCGCGACAGAAGGATTATTTTGTATGGATTTACAGTATACATATGTGAGCAGCATATTAGACTGGAAGATATTTATTTTATCAGTGTTTTGTTTTTTATTTTAGTAAGTTCTGTAATTTGTATTATGCGTCAAGCGTGTCTTTACATTTTCTCATTTGTGTGTATATTTTCCCCCCTTAACCTTTTGAGCGCCAGGGTCACAAATACGTGACAAGCGAAAACTGTCCCTGAGCGCCAACGACACAAATATGTGACAAAAACAGCGGTACATTAAAACACGAAATAAACTATTTAAACATTACTTTAATGTCTATTTATTAATATACCTGTAAAATAGAAGGTCCAAAATTTATTTATTTCCATAAAACTAATTAAATTGCATTATAAATATTGAGAAATTTTACGTTAAAAAGAAAGAAATAAACTCTGAAAAAAGAATGTCCTCACACGCCAGAGTCATAACTGCGTGACCGCTAGTGATGTAGCGCATGTTGGATAATATCATTATTTTAAATCAAAGATCGATGCGAAACTTTCCTCTGGAATATATTATTTTAGGTATAATTTGGTACTAGGATAAAGCAGCATTAATTTTATAAAACCAGTCTTAAAAATCATTCAATAAGCTACATAGTCAAAAATAAAATTTGGTTGGGTCGAATTTCGATATTCACTAATCCCAACTCGAGCGCATCCCTAACGCAACCCGAATTATCAGTACCCTGTACGCCATGGTCACGACTAGACGACAATATCGTGACGTCACAAGCGCGGCGACCAGAAATTAGTGAAGTGAATGAATAATATTTATGATTAATTTACTTGTGATATCGAGTTCAGAGTTCAGAATGCAGGTTGCATTGTAGATTTTGTATAATTTTGCTCTATTATTCAAAAGATTTATTAGTATAAGACTGATTGGTAATTGTGATAATTATATATAATCGTTAATTGTTTTAATTTGTTACTTTTTATGCCAGGTTTATAGAACTTAATATTTAAAAACATGTATACATAGTACATACTGTATAACATTTTATTAAAATTTTCTATTTTTTCATAGTTTTTATTTACCTTCTTAACCTATTTCAATCATATATTTTTAAGTACCTGTTACATTCGGAATTATAAATCTGATTTAAAAAACGTGTTTCATTTATTATAAAATAATATTGTACTAGAACATCGATAAACGAGATATTACGTTGCCACATCCTTATTTCGGAAGCGAAGTAGTTATTAAAATGGCGGGCCGTCCACGCCATGGTCACAATATGAAGACAGCAGTGTTGTACCTACAGTTATTATATTTAAATATATTGTAGTCTCATATCTGTTATTACGGTATTATACAAGTCTGTAAATAGTGTATAACTATTACTTTAATAGGAAGAAATGTAATGTTGAATTAAATTTCAATGTTATAAGGACATTATATTTCGAAATTAAAGACGAAAATGAAAATAAAATTGATTATCGATGAAGTTTTGGAATCCCTATTTTTTTCGTAGGTATTTGCGGTGAATTTGTGGCCTGGCGTTGAGGGCAAGTTCATGCGTTTTTGCTCTGGCGTTCAAACATGTATACATAGTACATACTGTATAACATTTTATTAAAATTTTCTATTTTTTCATAGTTTTTATTTACCTTCTTAAACTGTCAATCACCAAGCTGTCTCCGGTGACCGCAACCTATTGCTCTATAATTGTGTCTATAATGATACTCGACGAGTTAAAAAAAAATACCTACAAAAAAAAGTATTATTGCATAGAATAATTCTAGCTACCATAATCGTTAATCCTTTTACGGTATGTGTACAAAAAATATGTTCGAGCGATGCATCTCCAAACACAAAACTGTCAGCATCTGATAAAGATGGATTATTTTAACAGGCAAAATGGCTACCGAATCCAAAACCATGCCCCTTGAATGAAATTCAACCAAAATATGAAGGTTGTATGGTCTAGTTTACGTTGAAGAGGTTTTCCAGGACAATAAATCCACAGGTGCTTTTCATGCCTCATGCAAGCCTCAGATAGATTAGTTTTCATATAAAAAATATGTTCAAACCCCTCTCGTATGAATAAGATTGATTAAGTCACCATTGTTCGCTTTTAGGAAAATTGTGAGATCCATGAGGAAGGGGTGGAATTGAACCAAGTGGCTGCCTTGTAAGTGGTGTTCGATGTAACAGCTCTTTTTGATGGTGTTTATGTTATTAAACTGTCAAACACCAAGCGGTCACCGGTGACCGCAACCTATCGTTCTATAATTAACCGGGGCTCCGGCTCGACGTGCAGGAGAAGGAACGGGGTGGTTTTTAGTCAGTAAGAGTCTGACACTCCCTTCCGCCTCACCCAGGCGGGAGCAGTCATTCGATGATTTTTCCCCCTTAAACTGTCAAACACCAAGCGGTCACCGGTGACCGCAACCTATTGTTCTATAATTGTGTCTACAAAACCGGTACTCGACCATTTAAAAAAAAAATCGTTCTATAATTATGTCTATAATGACGGTACTCGACGAGTTAAAATAATTTTATTTATTTATTTCAAGATTCGCTGACCACATCGGGCCATGCTTATACAACAAAATAAATTAGAATCGAAACATCTACCCACTAAACAAAGTAGAATGTAAAAAAAAAAACTAAAAAAATATGTACAAAAACTAAACACACAGACACACTTACCTTTACAAATCATGGCCAAGATAGCCAAAATATGTATTAAGAAAATCACTTTTTCTGTAGTTTATTTGTGTATTCTTTATTATGTAATTACTTTTGTATAATGTTATCTTATTTTTGTTCATTTTTAAAACATTAATATTATATAATTTAAATTGGAAAGGCTGAAATTATCTATACGTTTGAGTGTTAGGCACTGACAGTCGAAATACAGGCAATGCCTAATTCGACTACAGAAGCTAAAATATTATACCTATGACAAAAATTGTAGCCACAATAATTGTTGATACAATATGTAGGTATTAACTCTTCGAGGCCGGTGACCGCAACCTATTGTTTTTTAATTGTGTCTATAATGACGGTATTCAATGAGTTAAGTACAAATAAATTATTACTAATTTTTTTTTTAATCTTTATTTAATAAGTAGGGCTTTTTTTACTAAAATTATTGTTAAATCTAACTTGTTCAATGCGACAGTTAGTAGTCGTTTCACTAACACTATTTTAAATTTTAAAATGTATCTCACTGAGGGTCCATCATTCATACTCATTCTTAGTGTGTATTTTGTCATCAATCATTTGACACAAGTACCTACTCGTGGAATTCAATGCTACTATTTTTAAGAAGGGTATATTTAGGCCATCCCTGATGCGAAACTTAGAAACAAAGAAATTACTACCAAAATCAACTTCCAAAGTCATAAAACACTTCAATTCCACACACCAAACAACAGATGGAAACCCAATTCATCCTCTCAATTCCACCTGTTATCTTATTTACGTCTAAAATCATCCATAAACAATAATAATGACCCTTCAACGAGCAATCAAGAGCAAGCAGTCCACAATATGGCGGACCACCAAATCAAGTGAACATAACTGTCAGAAACAATACACGAATGATTTTGACAGTTGCATGACATAATTTAAAGTTACATTGCGCGGTATGTTCGGAATAGCCTCTCGCATCCACTTAGCAATGGGACAATGGACTCGTAATTATTGGCTTAAATTCCCATTAAGCTGCGATCACATTAATATCAAGCGGTTATGCTGTGTTTTGTATGTTGTTGTAATTATTGTGATTTAAACTTGCAGTTGACCTGTGCCCGGCTTTGTGGTAGTTAAATTAATTGCTCTGACACTGTTTTTTGTTTGGAATAGTTTTGGGTTGTTTTGTTTGACCTATGCTCATTTTCACTAACCTCTCTTAACTCGTCGAGTACCGGATTTCAATAGGTTGCGGTCACCGGTGACCGCTTGGTGTTTGACAGTTTAAGTAGATAGGTGACCCCTAATCTGAGATAGGTAATATTTAACGACATTGTGGTTTTTGCAAACTATATGTGACATCTAACTGTACAATTAGTGAGGTGTGCTACGTTACGTTGAGAAACTTTTAGTTAAGAGATAGTTTAGGGATGGGTGGGTGACAACGACCACAAAGGCACTAATGCACCTATGCGTATTTATGTCTATTTAAAGATGTTTCTAAATTAATTTGCAATGCATCACTTCACATGTATGTAGGTACTTGATCAAGTTAATCGTTGACGTGCCTTCATTTTCAGGATTTGCTCCTAAAGACACGATAGTGCAATCAAAACGGTTCCCTCAATTAGTCTGTAATACATATATGATACATAAGAGTGTTGCGAATGCACTAAGAGAGTGTCCGTTTACCATCAGGCGGGCCGTAAGATTTGATTAAAGATTTGTTACCAACGATAGTACTATAAAAAGATATTGCAATCTCCTCACAGAAGATATATAGGGATCGCGACACGATCTCCAGCCACCGTAAGCACGGGCCTGCGGACGGTGCGTCGGGTTCTGCGCGCGCCTCAATGAGTCAGACCACCACAGATGGGGCTCAATAGGGCTGATGACAATACGGATTCCCGGAGCACTTAACGGGTTGCCGGGGCACCGGCTCGATGTGCAGGAGTGGGAATGGGGTGGTTTTTGGTCAGTAAGAGTCTGACACTCCCTCTCGCCTCAACCGGGAGGGAAGATATAGGATTAATTTCGCCCTAAAAAACTAAAAAATGTTGTTAAAGATATTTTTATTGAGATTGAATAACATAACAATTGTATTATAACTTTATGTACTGTTTTGTGTCTTGTCGCCTATGGAATGCATAAAAATTAAAAACGGTGCAGCTCGTCCAAGCAACGGCGGTTGTCTCTAACGCGAAGTGACCAACAGAGGTCATCTTACTACTAGTGCTGTTAAGCTCTGATTTTACTTTCTCTTTCTTCCTTTCTTTCCTTGGTTTTGATCTCCGACTGTGAGTTGGTGGTCCTAGTTGTGATGATAACACTTTATAAAGATTTGGCTTTTTGCAAGATATTCAGAATTCCTACTTTAGCAAAATGTTTTTGATCACCATCAAGTTTGCGTAACATTGGGATAAGCATCTGTGTAAAGTTTATATCTTCGTCATATGCACTCGTATTTACCGTGGAGGGCGTGGAGTTTAATAGTTTTGGCACATTTTGTTCCTCATCTTCAACTGCCCTTTGGCTTTTAGAAACTGCTTTATAGGATGAAGTTAAAGTTTGTAATGGTTGCTCATCTTCTTCATCGTCTCTTTGGTTCTTAGAACTTTTTGAATCCTTTTTAAAGGACGAGGTCATATTACTATTTGTTTCAGTTACGTCTTTTGGGCTCCTTACACCAGGGTTGTCCTGTGAGGTAGATTCTGTATTTGTGCTAGATTCTTTCTTTCGAAGAGATGGCACCAAAAACATCATAGAATCGAAATGAACGTACTTTCTTTTTTTAATAGCGCCATGACCAGATTTCCGACGTTGCATAGTTAGTTCTTTAGCAAAACTATCCCGCATATTCTTCCATCTCTTTTGAACTCTGTGCCCTGTAACAAGAGTAAACATTCTTATATTAATAGTAAGTATGGGACTTTTTCAGGTATATTAATAGTGGAAATAGTATAAGTAAAAACCAGTTAAAGAACTGGAACAACAGGTCTTAATAAAAGGTGTTCGTGAATACGTTCGAAAAATAGAAGATGGTTAATTAAACATAGCAAGATTTTATTGTGAAAGAACATTAATTGCCTCGGTTCTAAATATTGTTAACATTTCAGACGATAAGTACTGCGCTCGCGTCCGCCACGCGCAAAACCACAGACTTACTACACAGAACTAGGTGTAGTGTGTAGCGCGGGCTGCGCGCTGCGCGTGTGCGGGGTCAGCGCGGGGAGGGGGTAGGGCGGGTAGACGTCAGACGCGGTCTAGCGAGAGGCGCAAGGTTAACTTAAAACGGAGTCTCGACGGAGTATGCAAACTGTTTGTAATAAATAAATACATTTTTAAAAACTTACCCTTCTGTATTTTCTCAGCCTTCGACAGTGTCTCCCAATTACTAAACACGTGTTGGTAAACTTCCTCCCAAAGAGTATTTTTCATTATTCTATCTTGTCGCAATGCCGTGTCGTATAAAGCTGGCCTTTTCTCTACTTCCATTATGATTTTCTGGGACAAATTCTCGTATTCTACGTATGATACAGACTCCGATTCGGATGACGACATTACTGTAATAAATTGGTTATTTGAATGGTCCAGCAACACAACAGTCCCTCTCGACAGTAGATCGAATACTAAGCTAAAACCCGTCGGTGCGGGGGAAAACCGCAGCTGCGGTCGCCTGCGATCGTGTGCTCGTTTCATAATACCAGACGGTTTAAAACAGTTGCGGTTTGAGGTGAACGCATAGTAAGCATACTCACTCGAGCCGAACGCGTCGAACGTGTCGAGTATGATATTTGTATTTTTTTTTCTTCTTTGGCAACCGAGTCTCCAAAATGGTGTTGTAGACTATACTGCCAGTGTCGAATATTTGTATTTATTTAGTGTTTAGTCTTTTATTATTTTTTGGATTAAAGTAAAAAATTTAGTAAAAAACTTTAGTAAAAATACACACATGACGTCATAACGTCATCAGTATTTGTTGTTCATAGTTCATTTGGATCATTTGACCGAAACCCTCATATTCTGTGATTCACGTGTAACAGTGCGACATTAAATTTAAAAAAAAATGTTTCTTAGATATTTGATCGAACTAGTTTCGGCGTCGACTCACACAGCGAAACTAAGTTTTCCTTCAAGCGCTATAGCGCCACACATTCGTGCCGAAGCAAGGCTCTTTTTTTTCGACGTTTTTTGACGAGTTCGGTTCGGATAAGTTTAGTGTGCGTTCGTCTTTAACCGTACCTAGTGTGGCGACGACGCGTGGCGTAGGCCCGAGGTCGTTGGCCGGGCGGTTCCGACCGCGACGCTCAGTTTAATTCTCTTTTATAAAACTGAATAAACTCAAACCGTATGTAATTTTCGAAAATCTGAAATTGAACTGTGTTAGGCAACGACCTACAATCCGAAAAAACAATGTATATTTTTCCTTTTTTTTTAAAGATCGTGTCGTCTTTTTCTTATTTTTTCCTAAGTCATTGTACATTAACTACAGATAAATAAATCGAATTCAAATGTACATTCGAATGCACGCATAGACTAGGAAACTGCATCCATCCAATTAGAGCATCTTAAAATTAAACTATGTACATTTGAATTTGGAACGTTGTAGGTAAATGGGTCGTTTATTTGGACGTTTGCAATGAAATTCCTTCTAATTGTTCGGCTTTAGGGTGCGGTCCCAGTGACAGCAGGTTACAAAACTTACAATATTAACGGAAAATTTTCTTTTGGTACCATTCACTGTCTATATATTATCTAAGACCAAACCCTATTTTGTACGAATATACTGAGATATTTCTTATTATGCGTATGTTTGTCGCTGTTACTAAGACCATGCCCTCAATCCGGTAATGTACGCTTAGCTTATACGGTGTCTGAACTTAGTCGGAATCGGAGTGATGTGAGCCCGGGCATCCGGCTCACTGGCCAGTTACCCGGATAGATTCAAATTGGTCTCCAATCACATTTATGCATTCGTATTATGGAACTAAGGAAGTAATGTGTTTAGTATTCAAATCGTAATGGATTGGATTTAAGAATTCCTAATTGAGTTTTAGGAAACTTATTAGATGCTTAGTAAATAGGTAGGCAGGTATCTTCCTAATCCTATAGGTACGTAAGTTGCTCAAGCTAACTAGATTTCCCTCTTTGGAGGGCTTCGGTTTAGCAAAAAATATCGCCCATAACATTACCCAACCACTGAATGACAATTACTGTCAAAAATGTGATTTTAGTAGGTATGTAGATATTTTTCTGGATTCGAAAACTTACCCCCACCGAAAACCGATAAAAAATTGCATCAAACACGAAATAATTCTAGAAGGTACTCACTTGACTAAAATAAACTTTAAACCAAATATGTATCATCTAGGTAGGTATAATTTTTGATATAATTTACTAACTTTGAAAATAATCCATTGCAAATCTACAAAATGGCAATTCACTCACACAAACTCGAAAACATTAGGGCTGCCCCGAGAACTTATTGCAAAAACCGTAAAACGCAAATGTGCGCACCCCCTAAAAGTACTTTATGAAATCCGTTATCACATCCGCATTGGAGAAATAACGATAATTCAAAATTTATCAGTGAACGATATTCCACCGTGGGCTTTTTAAACTTATTGCCGTCGAATTGGTATGAACGGCAATAACACACAATTTTGGCCTTTTAATCATTCGTGATTGATAGTGTAAATAACGACTTTCGTTAATTTAAACGTAATATGCCTTTATTATAACCTTTTGTTTCGTTTGGTCGTATAATATTAATTAATTATTGCTATTTAATTATTTATTGTTGAAATTAAACTCTTTTGTTTATTTTTGTGATTGTGTTATAATTTGTTCCTCAGAATTGTTTGTTGTAATATTTATTTTTCAATTTAATAATTATTGACTCTAATTTATATTCCAATCTTTATTTGAATTAATCGCATTTTGAATAGGAATATATCTATCTATGTGGGGATTTTTCTGACACAAGACCAAATATTGGTGAACGTACGTACTAAACCTAACTGAACCTAATAAAATTCCGCTAAAGTACAATTTATATTTTGATTTATAAAAATAGTTTCTACCAGTTTTAGGCAAACAGTGCCATCTACAAGTACACTGTAGAATCACATACATTGAACTGTTTTGGTGTATATATTTGTCAATAGATGTCACTTTCTGGAATAATGATTTTGAATATGTTATTGTTTGTGATTTAAAAAAAGGACAATGTGTTTCGAACTATTTATTTAAAAAGAAATTGTGAATATGTAATAAAAATATACAAAAAAAACCGATAAAACCGTAAACAATTTTGTAAGACGTCGCGTCGCGTACATATAAAAAAAAGTTATACACAAACAACATGGTGGATCAGCTGTTTTCGTTTTTCTCAAATCTGAATTTGTTTTCATAAAACGAAGCCTTGTTATGGTCTCATAGCCATGTGTGAATTAAAATGGGTTCAATCGCATCGGTGCTGCAATGGCATTGTCAGACGTGCGGCCAGATCAATCCAACAGAAAGTGTAAAGTGTTTAAAATGTGGTACAAAGCGGGTATCGAGTCATGACAGTGAAATATCTAAAGAAAATTATAGAGATTCGTCGCCGGAATATACATCTCGTACTGGAAAAAGCGAAGGAACTACACCTGGATCAGAAGCGATCGTCATACCAACTGAACATAGCTTTAACAGGTGTGTTTTTTTTCTTATAATTACGACCGTCGCTGAGTTTCTGTCAGCAAATTATCGATTTTTCGTGACCCGTATTTTAGGTTATATTTCTATTGTATTTCATTGTTGTGCGCAGTGGAAGGTAGTTCATTAACTAAATTAAATGTTAACGTGCAGTTTTTGGTGTATTTGTGTCAGCAATTGTGTTAAAAATGTGATTATATGTGTTGATTATTCATCATGTATGTAGGTATGTATTGTGGGCTGTTTCGATTAATTCATTGTTCATTTCCTTACAATCGTAACTCAAACACTATTTTTACGTATTCTATAACTGATTTAGTGTGAAACTATAACCGTAAAACATTGACGTCCGTGAGCGCAACTGATAAAATCGACGAACAAAATATAATTTTTTTCGACACCACAACTACTTGCCTGTAACACAAATAGTGTTACATTGTGTATTCAGTCCTATTATTACAATACAGTGTTCACACTCCTATTTAAAGTGATAACTATTAAATTAATTAATTCAAATATTCTATCTATTAAAAAATATAGTTCATAACACTAAGAGAATACCAATAACAAAACTCCATCAAACAATCTTGTAAGTAATTTAATTTTACATTAATTTTTCAACTACCATGACAAATCAAATAAGATACTAATGAGATAAGTTTGGCTTCTACTATTAAGAACAAAGGATTAACAAAGAAATTATTAATTTATTATTCAGTTTATTTATTGTTACTTCCATTCACATAAAATTTTATGAATAACACTGTGAGTAATATAAATAAGTGCATTTTATAACAAAGATATTAAAAAAAATTAAATAGTATTTGTGGAAGCAAGAACTTATTGGTACCTATAACAAAGAAAAACAGTGACAATGTTAGGGTACAACAACATCAACGCTTAATTAAGAAATTTTTTTTCAAAGTCAAAGCATTTATTTCAATTAAACCATAGTTTGGTACTTTTGAAACGTCAACAAATACAAAATAAATAATAGTCTGTCAGTCAGTCCGTCAGTGCAGCTAGGTGAAGCTAGGTGCTCATTCCAAAACGTAGATTCGAATGGAGAAGAACGAGCAAGAAACTCCATTCGTTACTCTTTTAAAAAAGTATGTTCTACAATGTCTCTGATACATATTTCAATACTGTATCACAACAGTGACAAAAAATCATGCGGCCCACCTTATGTATAGATTACTAACTGTTGCCCGCAACTTCATTCATATAGAATATGATTCCAGTTTTATCCCATTGGAGTATTTAATCGGAATATAAAAGTATCCTATCATGTAAGTCAGCACATACCCTGCCTGTATACCAAATTTCATCAAATCTGTTCAGTAGTTTCAAACAAAGGACAAGCATCCAAACCAAGGGACTTTAAAATTTATAATATCAGTGTGATAATAATAAATTGGTAAAGGTATGGTACAATCATTTAGTGCTCCATTGCCTCAGTCCATACCAATATTACCTATGTGCATATGTTGCAAGCATCTACATAAACATTGAAGTTCATGTTATTGCAAGCAAATAGATAAGGGCTACCACAGATATATTAAAGTCTGTGAGGGCTACTAT